CCTGACTTCCCTTTTCTCCTGACTATATCTTATGGTAATGATCCAGACATGACCCCGCTATCTCTGCTTTTCTGGAGAACCACAGGACAATTATGAAAGACCAGACAAGCTCATCTGCTAGGAAGAAAGAAAAAAAGCCAGTTCCTAAGTTTTATGCAAAGAATAAACAAAACTGCAGTAAACCATAAGGAGTTACATTCACGGGGAGAAACAGAATCACATTGTTCAGAAAATCAGAGGAGAACAAAGAGGTTCAATGAGAATCCAAGACCAAAGCCATTTCTACTAAGGGGCCTGCATCCGCGTGATGAACATAACCTCATATCTTCCCCTTCCGCATTACCAAACGATTTCATGGAGCTCTCCATGAGGGCCTGCAGGCACCTCCCTGAGCTGTTTCTCTTCCCCAGGCTTCTAAGCCAGTGAAGGGCAAAGGACCTGCTGTCCTGAGTGCTCTGCTCTTCTCTAGTTAAGACTCACTAATACCAGATTAATTCTCCTTGATATGTGTGCTCTTAGGTGCTTTGTCATCTGATACATTATTACATTACTTCAGAAAAACTCTCAATGCACACGGTCTTACCAGGCTGACGTCCCAATGTATTAAGCAACGATTTACAGGTCTAATAAAGGACAGTCATTCCCACAAAATGCTCACAAGGTTTCAAAGATGAGACACAACCAGTGAATGAAACGGGTAGACTGAGGGGATGAGACCAAGAGTTAGGGTAATGTGATGTGCACAATTGTAGCTTTTTCACTCTCATGATTTGGATGATGTGTGCTGAACATACCAGAAAACTGAGAAACTCTCCTGAAACACCAGAAAAATTCTAAAAAAGAAAGTTACTGAATTTGCCTATATGTAATTGCTGGCTTTGTTGGAGAAAATCTGATCCAGTTTGTGGTATCATCTGACATATCTTAGGTATTTAAGAAACTCTCTGCTAACATCAGAGAAAAAATACCGGCCTATATAGAGCACGTCTCTGTGTCAGACACAGACTGAAGTGGGCTTGGAGGTGAGCAATGAAAACTGCCACAGGTCTAGGAAACCTGGCCAAAGTGGAATGATTGAAGGGATTGGGTTTGCTGAGTTTAGGAGAAAGAACATTGAGGGGCAACATGGAGAACTGTCTTCCAATGGGGCTATAAAAAGAACAGGGGTTAACTGATCTCTGCTTCCATGGCAGGAGGGGTATGAAACAAATAGTGGCCAGCTTTGTTTGCATAACAAAGTGTCAGAAGTAGATTTATTCTGAAAACACATCTACTGAATAAATATTTTCATTTATTCTGAAAATAGGAAAAGAGAAGCAGTGAAGCAGCCTTGAAGTCTATGAAGTCCCTGTTTATGGAGTCCTTTAAGAACACAGCTTTGTTAGCCAGTGATGGTCTAGGCATGTTGTAAGGAAGGGACCACTGAGGTCCTTCCAGCCCAGCATTTCTATGATTTTTAATAGGTCTGCAGATCTAACAGAAAGGATACAGGCCTGATCTCATTATATAAATAAAGATAAATGGAAATCTCCATTGGGTTCCCAATGACCAACCCTGGGAAGGGAAACAGGAGGTTTGGGGAACACAAATGCCATGGGAACCTTTGAAGTTTTATACGTGTAATTTGACCCTGTACTTTCAGGAACATCTGTGAAGAGGGGCCTGGGTTGAGTGGGCTAAAGAGGGAAAAAAATCCTACTCCTTGAGCTGGGTTTTGTGAAGCGACGAACTGAATGAGATGGGCTTGTCTGGTGTTGAAACAGGCAGCTTCAGGGCTGGCAGCAGGATCCAGTCTACCTCTCAGTGACTACATTCACAAATGTACAAATAACAAAACTTACAATAACAAAATGTTATTGATGTAAATACCCTGACATAGCTAACGTGGTTCACTATGTCAGAATAGGAGAGAAATGTGTGATATTAAGTTGCTTACATTTCTAGTCCAAAGCCAGGGTCGAAAGCTGGAGAGCACACAGAGAAAATAGATGTATTTTAAATGAAATTATCAGTACCCTATGGTATAAACACTACATTTGAGATTGCTGAGTATTTTTAAGTAGCATCCACTGCACTTCAGTTGAAACATTAAATTTACTCAAGTATAAATTCTCTTAGATAACAAAACTACATAAGAGTTGCCACAGTATACATGAAAATCTAGTATGTTTGCTTTGAGACAGCTTCACTAAGTTTTTTCTTTGTCCCAAATCACTTGGTGATTTTTCATACTTACGTGTTCTCAATAGTTTTGGGTTTGCTGGTTTGTTGTTTGTTTTTTTTTTAGTAAAAGGTTTTCCATCTCAAATACAGAGGTTCCTAAGCAGTGACAGACCATGACCAATGGTCCAGCCTTAACCTCTCAAGCATATGCATAAGACATGAAACACGGTAGACTTAACTCTGGACAGCAAGAACTGTGGCTCCAGTCCAACAAACTATTTGTCCTGGCCATAGTCTGATTCAGCTGAACTGCTTGCATCCTCCAATCTAAGCACCAAGAAGGAGAGCACTTAAATCAAGATCTGTTGGGGTAAAGAGAGGCAGTGCAGTTCTGATCATAGGAACGAACTGCACCTCCTTGTCTTAGGAGCAGATACTCTGATGTATGCAAGGGTAAGTGAAACTGGATCTGGATCCGTAAGATGCTTTCTTGCTTTAGGCTCCAGCCTTCAGCATGCTCTTTCATTTGGGGTAACATCAGTTAATTGAGATGATAGATACTTATCACAGGTTTATGACAGAAAGAGGTTGCTTGGGTTCTGTAAAAATTATTTATCTTTGTGTTAACAGAGTCTAATTAACATATCTCCTCCAAAGAGATTAAGATTGGAGTATCTGAAAGTCCTGTCTAAAGTCCTCAGTGGTGAAAGGACCACGTTTTGTCATGTTCCCATTGTTAATGGCTTGAAAGGATGGACTGTTTAGCCAGGTTGGTGTGAATTGATAAGCCTCAGTACAGCTCACAATAGACTGTGGTTGGTCTCACAGATGTTCCACATGAACATCCTTGCTGAGTGAGAGTCTCATTCTGAAAAACCCTCAGGCTGGGAGACTTAAAACTGAGGCAGCGTGCTAAGGCTGCTAGCAGGCCAAGGATTACAACTCTAATTCCAGACTCCTGCATCCTGTGTTGTAATGTGATTAGACAGATGATATTTTTCTAGGAGTCCCCTAGATAGAGCAGGTGGATGTGACTTCTGAGCTGTAAAGACATCATGAGAGATGTACTTCATAAGCGCCTTCATGGGATGTTCTTAGCACAGTTATAACTATTGTAAAGATAAACTATGTTGCTACTTCTTTTCAGATTACAGTTATGTAATTGTTGCTCCCTGCTACTTGGTCTCTCTCCTGTTTTTTCTGTCCCCTCCTTCCCTAGCTAACTCAGATCTGAAAGCAGCACTTTGTGGCCTAGCAGTGCATAAAAATAGTTGTACTGCATCTGCATTTAAACTGGGTACATCAGCATAGCAGCATGCTGCAGGGATCTGTGGAGGAGCCTTGGCACAGCTCAGCCCTGTCAGGAGTATCTCTGTCCCATACTCCACAGTATAGTGCAGAGAAGCCCAAACCTGATGTGAAATCCACAGACCAAACTGTTTCAGAGTTCAGATCCAGCCTAGGGTCTGGATGTTTGCCACCACTTGTCTGCCTATCACATCTTTGTTCAGCATAGCCCAGAAAGTAATTATGCAGAAGACTATTTGAATAACATGGCCTCTGCTTGCTCTCAAGTTTCTCAGATGAGCAGTAGTTTACTGTGACACACTGCAGCACCAGTAATACATCTAGGACTATTTTTCATCCTTTTCTTGCTTCAGAGTAGCAGGTCTTGGATCACTGAAAAAGATTAATGAAAATGCAGAACAACATCAAGTACAGAGCTACTGCCTTAGAAAAATGGAGACCCCCTGTTTTCTGCCTCCCCCATGCAAGCTGCATAGCCTGGATCTGAAAGCTGGTTAGGCCAGCCTTGCTGGCGGTCAGCTCTTCGCAGTTCATCAATCCAAAAAGACCTAATTTGGTGCAGAGCTATAAGGCCATGCACAGATGGTTACTCAGAACCACTTACTATATGTTGACAGGAGAAGGCCAATAAAAAAAATCCCAACCCAACCAACACAAGGTGTTAACAACTGAGAAGGAAAACCACTGGTCTTTCACATACACTTGCAATTCTCCACTATTTGCTCTCCTCCCTATTCTCTCCTCCTTCCATAGCCTCTTGGTGTGTAAAATAATCGTCCTTACATTGCGTAACTTATGGTGTGGATACGTCTGTGGAATTTGGTGCTTGGCTGTTGGATTTTCTTCTTTTTTTTTAAAGAGACGCAGTGATTAGAATCAAAGCAGTGATCATAGCTTTAAAACTTTTGTAAGTATGTGCTTGTTTCCAGATTTTCTTTGTGTTTGTTCAGTATCTGATTCAGAACACTTATCATGACTTCAGAGAATGAGTGGCTATAGAGAAGCATGGGGTTGAAGTTTGGATTTTAAAAGCCTAGTCAGATGACTTAAGGGCAGCAAATTTGTATTGTAGGGTAAGGCACTTTATTTCTTAGGATATTGACAACTGGAAAATGGCTGCCAGAAGAAATACGATCTCACAAATATTGATAAGGAGGCACGGTGTATTTTCATTTAATTGGTGAATCAAAGCTAGCCCAAGGCTAGTGAGAACTATTTGCATTGAACTTGCTGGGAACTGTGAAAGAAAGGCTCAAATACCAGTGCCTGGGTTCCTAAACACCAGGACACCAGCAAAGGATCAGGAATCGGTGTCCGCCTTTCCTTTACCTATATGAGATGAGGAGGGGTCTCAGGAAGAGGAATGAGGAAACTGTAGCTTAAGTGAATCTGTTTCTGTACATCTAATTTATCTGCTTATGTGGAGATGAAATAAAGTGTCCCACTGTGGAAAGTAGGCTAGGTCACATGAGGAGGGAAGCCTATCCTTCTGTATGTATTTGATATGTTCAGTTCTGGGGGGATGTATTAAAACCACACACCCCAGGAAGGAGAATTTTAAAAGAGCTGTTTTTCCCATTAGGCTAAAAATAGTATATCTCATGTTTCGTTTTGGTGATGCCTTTCCTTGTCATGTCTGGCTCTGCCGGCAGTTGTAGTTATTCCAGACAAGGAGTGCCTTTCTCTGGTTTAAGGTAAGTAAGTCACTTCTGTACTAGGTTATAGGTCCTACTCAGTGTTATCTTGACGGATCTCTTCAGTACTGTTCACCTTTTTAATGACCATCTTGTCTCTTCAGGTCTCCTCTCTTAGGGCTGACAGTTTTTCTTTCTCTGTGCCTGCACAGTCCTTGGAAGAGCCTCTTATCATGACAAAAAGAAACGATATTTTTGGCCATTTCCCAGCATGCATTCATGGGCACATGCAGCAGGTATGCCCTTGGGAGCTGTCAACTCAGAGCCCGCATTTCAAAATGTGTTCTGGGACACATTGTTCATTCTGGAGAAACCATCAACAGGTATTTCTCAGACACCTATACCTCGTTTATCAGTTCAATGTCATTTGACATTTTCTTTCATCCTTTCACCAGAAAGAAAAAAGGAGTGCACACAAAAGGGTCAATGTTTTTGAAAGGTCAGTAATTCCAGATGAAATGCAAACCTAAGGCTTTTAAAAAAAATAATCTTGGTTGAGCAATAAAGCACTTAGAGTTTGACTTTGTTATGCAAGAGAGAAACTTTCCAGCTGGCTGGCAGTGGTTCCAAAGGGTGTCTGTGTGGTTATTGATTAATTTAGTCTATTGTTACTCATGTCTTTCATTAATCCAAGTGTTTTCACTTGTGTCCCTGCACAACCTTGTTTTAAAGACTTGGAGTCTGTCAGAGACAACTGCTTTGAATATCAGGTTGCTTATTTGAAATGCTAACTCTTCCTGTCTCAGAAATTTCTAGGTGTGGCATTTTAGACCTCAGAAAAATAAGAAAGCTGCTTAAAGTTGAAGGTGTCTCCAGCCTCCTGTTCAGACCTGGAACTCTGTCCATGCATAACAGAGAGGAAGCTGCAAAAGGCTAGATCAGAGAGCTGGCTCTGCTGCTTTCTGCTCAGTTCCAGTGCCAAAACACAAATCTTGTAGGGGATTCCCTGCTGAAGTGAGGGGCAGCTGCCTCTAATGGGTTGACACTTGCTGTTTGGGATTATAGATCTCTGGTGGAGTTGTGTGGATGGAAAAACAGTATCAGGAAGCCAGCGGTACAGTTGTTCTTCTCTGTATGCTCACCTCAGCCTTAATATTTTCATTAGCCTTTCAAATAGCCTTATACCCATGCAGTCCTCTGCTCATGGTTTTGGTTATTACCAAACCCCCTGAAAAGCATTGCTGCCCCAGCTATAGGAGGCTATGTCTAAAACCCCAGAGAAGAACCCAGCATTTGCCAAGCCACCGAGTCCCTGGCATCTGTTTGCTGTACTGAGGGTGCTTTGTTCTCTGGTCACTGGCCCAGTGCCGCTGACTCATGTCACAAAGGAAGCTGAACTCTTGCCAGCTGGGAACTGCTTCTGGTCACTATCTCCAGTCATCGGTTCTTGATTGGAGCCTGTTAATCAGGCTTCTGACCTGCCAGCCTTGCAGGTCCCAGGCATTTGCTTTCCCTTTCAAGCCCTTGAGACAGCAGAATCTGTTCTACCAGGATGAATGCATTTAGGAAGTGCCAAATCTGAACTAAGCACCATTGGGTACCAGGAATTTTTAGCTTCAGGACTTCAATCCTGAGTGGAAACACTTGCCAGAAACTAGGATGGACTGAGTTCAAGACCAAGAGTAGAGCAGACCTCTTTGATAAAGCTTCCCCACAACACTGATGCTCATTAAGAGATTCCTTATCGCAACAGCCACAAGTCATTCTTGCTTCCTTCCTGCTGTACACCACTGTTATTTCCAGTGAAATACAGGGGTCATTTCAAGGGTAAAACTGCAACCATCAGTCAGGTCAAGAGAGCACCATCTCCACCTTTCTGAAGCAGGGAAAGGGAGGAGATGCTTTCAGTTCGTGACTACTTGGCTGCTTTATAGTTTTGTTTGGTAGAACATTAAAGAGATATGGAAATTTCAGAGGGCTATTTTAGGAAATCCTTCACAAGTTCCTTTAGAAGAAGGGCTTTACCTTAGGAATTCAACTAATTACAATTAGTCACTTGATCCTGAAAGCAGAAGGAAATTGTATCATGCATATTTCATACAGGATTTACTTAAGTATTCTGTTTTCTGGCTCTTTAGCACCTGCTGCTAGTCCTTTTGCCTGTAATTTCAGCTGGCAATACTGAACCTTTTGTACCAGACGAGTGGGCTTCCTCTTCTAAAACACTTAACAACAATAGTGTTTGCTGGTAAGCTCAGTTCTTGTAAAAATCAGATGCAAACAGAATATGCATAGGTTTGTCTTCCAGTCCAGTCAGATACACAGAAAACATTCATGCCTGGGGATGTCCTTTCCCCATCAGCTATATTGGTGGGCACCCCGGATTACCCTGCTGGTAACAGTAGATTGCCCTGGTTAGAGGAGTACTGCTAATAAACACTACAGTAAACCTTCATGCAACATTGTGCAAGGAAGGCCCTCTAATTCCCTAAAGCGTTCAAATATTGACTTTTTAACCATTTCCTAGCCACAGCAATGTGTTGGCCATTGTGAGAATCCCTCCAGGGGAGCTGAGGCTGTGGATGGGGGCTCGCACAGCAGATGGGGGGAGCAGCTGCTGACTTGTTTAGCTTGTGTGCCTAGCAGTATAAATGTGTCGAGCGCTGAGGAAAGTAGCAGTCAATTTGATGTAAACAAAATAATATATTTCAGCATAATTGCAGTAATTATTCAGGGACACTGCTTTTAACTAACCAGCTGTTACCTTTTTCTGATTCAATTAAATAGTTATAAGCTTCTAAGGCTTGCTATTACTCTTTCTTCCTTTCTTGCTTAAATCCTTTTCCTGTTGTCTGTTTTATCAATCAGTGATTATGCCTGAGGATTTTGCAGTGTCTCTCTTAGTCAGATTAGAAATGTTTGTGGTGTCTTGCTTTCTAAAGCCTTGTGCATACAGGGTGAGTTCCCTGGAGAAGTTCCTCAGCCACCTCAGAAGTGCCCTTGTGCAGCCTGTGCTGTTTGTGGAAGGGACTGATTCTGGAAATCAGTTTATCCTGATCTGAATAAGCCTGTCAGTAGAAGCAACTGATGCTTTGCTACTCATAACGCAGTATCTAACATGTAAGAACGAAAGCTCAGCATTTCCCAGAATGGAGTGGTGCTTAACCTGCTTTTGCAGTTGTGTTAGCGCAGTGTAAGGTGCTAAGACCAAAGCAGATTTAAGCAAAACCATTTAACTTTGTACTATATCCGCTGAAGAATTTGACTATTACCATCTTCTAAAAAGCCACCAGAAGCAGTGGCATGGGTATTAATGTTCACAAACTGCACTGCCTGGTAGCCAGGGGGTAGCAGGAGTGTCCCTTCCAGCCTTGTGTCCCTTCAGATAATTTTCCCTTGCTTTCTCTTTCAATGTTTTCCTCATTGCACTCTTCAAATATACCTTTGTTGGTATTTCAGGTCACCTTAGTGAAGCTGGAATAAAAACTACTTTCAAAGGAGCAACAGCGATAGTCAGCTCAGCAGCACGACTCCTGTGTACTCAACTACACTGGCTTCCCTCAAACACAAGTGCCTGGCTCCACCTGACCCGTGGCCCAAGCAACCCTGTCTTTGTATTGGCTTAAATTTGCTGCAAATAGGCCACCCTATCCAAGAAGGACCATAAGAAAAGAATCCTAAACATTTTAATTCACAGGCATTTCAGAACTGGCAATACTCTTGGACAGTGCACAGTAGAGCTTATAAATAGCACTTCGAGTGTCCATGATGTCACAAACCACAAGATCATCTGACTTGTGATTTATTACATGAGATCATGGCTTGTAACCTGCATCTTATTTACAGTCACTACACCCACTATTATTCCTGAGCCATCCCAGTGTTGAGCAGATACATAAATGCTGCCTGGAACTGAAACAGTAAACAGCCAATTAAAAGTTTAACCTCTCCCTTTCCAATCTCTTCCTATATTATTAACTGAGGATACTGTTGCTTAAATTAAGGTTGGGTCAGATAATGACAAATAGGTGTTCATTCATTTACCTGTATATCACATTTGCACAAACCATACTCATAGATTTTGTCAGCATTTATTATTCAAAAATAGTTTCTCATTGAAACTGCATTTATTTGAAGACATGTTCTTTCCTTCAGTGCAAGATTGTTGTTTTACAAGATTTCCTAGAATAAAATAGTGAAAGTCTTTTCTAGCATTTAATGAAAGAATAATTTTAGTTCTCTTTATAGTTCTTGACACTGCACACATATGCCCATAAATTGGTTTACCTTAACAGCAGTTTGCAAAACCAGAGTTGGACAATGTAACTAGAAAGCAAAAAGCTTGGAATTCAGATTAGTTAAACTAAGTAACGTTCAAATTTTATGTCACAGGTTACTGTAGAGCACTCATAAATGTATCATTGTGATTTAGTCCCTCTTTTAAAAAAATACCTCATGTAAGTATAAGGCTATAGGATAAGAAAAGTAGTTAGTAGTACTAATGTCCTGTAAAATATCTCAGTCTATGCCCTGCAGTTTCATTGTCTGTGATCTTAAAAGCATAGCCTACGCTCTGAGATCAGAAGCTCCTTTTATATTCTCATGGGACAAAGTACCCTAAAGCAGCTAGTTGAACAAGATCAAACACTGCACATCAGTGTGATCTGCAAGAGGGACACAAAGGAAACTCTTCTGTAGCCGGCTGGTTCTTTCTAAACATTCATTTCTATTAATTAAAATATCTGCAACGTTAGCAGCCCTTACTGGAGTTGAGACAGAGTGCAGATAAGATGGTTCAAGGTGCATGAGAAATCTGGTTTAGTGCAGTCTTTTCTGTACAGGTTTTTTGTTTTATATCTAACCTTGCTTTGTAAACAGTGAGTTGGCTAGCAAAGGTGTAGTGGTGGCCGTGAAAGAGAAATCTACTGCACAGCATGTCAGCAATATTACTTCTAGCTGGGCTTACACACATCTGTGGGTGGCCTCAAAGATGTTCTTTATTTGTATTTTTACCGGACTTGCTTTTGAATATGAGTGTTTTCAGACTTTTGCTGAGGTAGGCAGAGGGTTTAGTGGAGACTCTGGGAGCACCGTATGGTTGCTGTCTCTGAAAAGAAGAGCCAAGGTGACTTCAATGTCAAGAAAAATGCTAATCTTTGTTCAAAGGAAAAATATTTGTGTGTACTGCTACTAACCTCAGGTGTTCAGCCATCAAGGAAGATGCCTTCAAATTTAGAAATCAATGGATTATTAAAGAATAAATGGGGGGGGGGGGGGGGGATCCTCTTTTATGACCTCTGGTTATGAGTGCATTGGTGTACAGAGAAGTTCTGTTTTCAGGCTTTTCTATGCAGTTGTGACAGTTCAAATCCTATTTCCCTTTGACCAAAGAACCAATGCAACCCTTTGATACCAGGAACTGCAGCTTTAAGCAAAACATTGCAAAACTTTCTCTATGAAAGTATGCAGATTTTTTGTAATGTTTATCATTCAGTTCCTGGTACACTGCCACACGCACAGGGTAATGCTGGAGGCTGACTGGGTGCCTTCAGCAATTCCGAGTGTGTCTTTTCCTGTGTCTTACCACCTCCCTGGGCATGTAGTAGCAGCCACTGTCAGAGCCAGAGCAATGGCGACATAAGCCTTTGCCCTGCTCTGCTGGGACCCTTCTTATGTCTTATGTTGTAAGAGTTAATCAACACACAGATTCATTTTTCATGCTCTCTAATTAGATCCCAGAGGGAAAATGCCACAAGCCTCAACTACGTCCTTAATCTCCTGAACAATAGAAACTGTATTAAAACCACCTAACTGTCTTCCTGGGAGGGGTGGATGCTACTCAGTGACCCAGAGCTGGGTTTCTGGTGTGAGGCTTGCACAGGCTGGCCAGGGGCAGTGAGTGTGGCTGCCTGAGACTGTGGGGGCACCTTCTGCTTAGCTGGGCTGGGCTGGGCTTCTGACAGGCAAGTATCTGTGGCCCCGAAACTGGCAGGGCGTTTTGCAGTGGTATGGAGAGGCGTCGGGGAAGGGGGACCTTGGCAAGGCGGGCAGGCAGCTTGCTCACCTCTGCAAGAAGTGGCTTCCTTCCAGGTCAGGAGTGCTTTGGCAGAGGGACGGGGCGGACGAATGCCCCGTGCTTGCCCAACTCAGCTTCTGGAGAGGTGCCTTGCCTCTGCAGGTCTGTCAACTCCCCAGCACCAAAAATACTTCTCTGAAACGTGCCCTTCTCTGCATGCAGCTGTGCAGAGAGCCTCAGATGGGCTGGCAGAAAGCAGTCTCCTGGGGTTTTCTGTGCACTTCAGGAAGGGCACAATCAGTTGTCTGGGACCATTATCAAAAGAATTGGGACAGAGCTGCACACCCAGCCTCTCCTCTCTTCCTCCTCCCTCTGACTCAACAAGGGGTGTAAGCTGTACACAGCAACCTTTATTTTGTCCTTTCAATTGAAAAGATCTTAATGAGCACAGACTGTTATAAACAGCTGTTCCTGCCACATACTAGAGCTCATCTCCACCATAGTAGCTCTGCTGAAATAAAGGAAAGTGATTTCCTGGTGTGGGTTCAGTCCTGTGTGAGCTTTTGCTCTACTTTCTTCTGTGGGACTCTTGTTCCTTGCCCAGAATGGGCAGCCTGCCTTTATCTACCTCCCATCTGCCTTGGGATGTCCTATGTTACTGCAATCAATGACATGATGTAGCCTTATCTTGTATTAGAAAATTATAGAGCTATTAGAAATGTGGAAAGTACTTTTTCTCTCCCTCTTCTCCCACCAGTCAACCGCAATCAGTACAAGCATTCATGTAAATGCAGTAGAGGCAAAAGCAGCCTTTTTACTGGTGTGGCTTATGATTACTATCTGAGAAAATAAGGTACTAATGCAAAACTGCAGTTTGCTAGTGGCAGTGCCCCTGTGACTGTAGCTTGTTTGGTGGAGACAAAGAATGAGATTTGAAACTGTGCAACTGGTGAGGCAGGAAAGTATTTTATTAAAAGCTGCAGCACGCTGAGGAGCAAAGGTACTAAGTTATAGGCACCTAAGAAAAGCATTCGATAATCTTTTCAGGACATCCACATGCACATAGGGCCTTTCTAATGGGTGCTTCACAAAGATTCATGTGTGTGGCTTCTCATCACATCTTGCCTCTGCTGGGATACCATCAGGCCTTTCTTTCAGAAAGGAACTGACTGCAGTAAGTGGCTGACTCAGTTTCAGCCTGGTGGCCTCCTAAAACTCTCAGATGTGCTAGATGTAAGGAGCTCTTCATCATGCAGGTATCTCCAAAGAATCAAATTGAGGCCAGCATATCCTGGCATGCAGAGTACTAATCAATCCTGGCATGCAGAGTACTAATCAGTCCTCTGAGGCTGAGTCACCACCCATTCTCACCAGACCAGGTTTTGAATCAGGTCAGAGGATCAGTTGTTTATTATCAAAATCCTTAAGCTCTCTATCTCCCCTTGCCAGTAAAGCTATTTAGCTTTCTGCTGCTGTTTCAAACTGTTACTCATCCAAAGTGGCCTGTGCTTGACTTAATGCTGCTCTCTGGAGAGAAGCAAACACAGTGTCACCCTTGGTCAGGGCTGGGTGCCCTGTGTCCATGACCTTTACCATGCTAACCTGCCCTCATCTTGACTGACACCATTAACTGCCTCTTAGGGCAAGTTTGTCGCCAGCTCGGGGAGGTTAAGACAGACAGCTCATGCTTCTGATAGTTAGGGACTAGTAATAGCCAATTTGGGTACCAGAATGAGAGAAGGAGAGGCTAGTAATACCCCTGCTTCAGTGCCCCATTAGAGTGAAGGAATCCTCAAAATGTGGGTTAGTTTCAGCTGAACCCATTTCCTCACTGGCCTAGGCTCTTCCTCATCTTCTGTTTCAGCTCTGCACCACAACCCATGTGAGGAGAGCGTGATGCTATTTATTCTTGTTTCCTCCCTCTCCGGGGTCCTATCAGAAACACCAGTCTGAGTCAGACTAAGAGGCTGTGGCTGAAACAAGAGAGAAAACTCGGAAATGTACAGATTTCAGCCTAATGCAGCTACCCCAGCTCTGTGAAGGAAAACTGGGCCTCAGAGAATGTGTGAGATACTCAGCAAAATAGCAGCTAAATAAAGACTATGTGAATTAGAAACTGCCTAGCAAGCAGCACAGAAGGAGTGGCTGGCTTGTCATGGGTAACGAACAGACTCAGAAGAGTGTTATAGCATGGGTGTTACGTGACCTTCTACCCTCTTGCAGTATCTGCTATTTTTGGACATTTGCTGAGAAGAATCCCTCCAAGATCACTCTTTTGTTCTATTGGGTGGTGATACCTGCGTTTTCCAGCACAAACAGAACTGTGCTACAGTGAGAAGTTTCCAGCAGGGATACTTTTTCACACGCATTTGGATGAGAAGTCATTAAAAAAACCTACTCTCTGCATTTGGCAGGTAGGGGCAGGGTACCACAAACCAGTAACTCATGACAAAATATTCTAGTCACAGACATGTAAATCTAGCTTCTTGCAATGTGTTCCTGTTGTACATTAAACAGCACAGATCTGGAAGTATCTGGAAATACCTTCCATATCCAGATCTCCCCAGCAAGAACCATGTCTTAGGCAGATCGCATTTTTATTGCCTTCACTACCTTGCTCAGATATCCCAGTGCTTAAACTGAGCTGCAGGAGTAATTGGACTTCAGTATAATGGAGCCATTCGCTTCTGCCCAAGTGAACTGGTGCTTAATGGTCTGTACACTTATATGACCTCTGGTTGCAATCTGATCAGATATCACAAACTAAATGGAGTCTTGCTGATTATTATGGGAGGAGAATGGAGAGTCTTAGGAGGAAGGGTCAGGATCTGGGGTATTGCCCAAAGTAGGGACAATTGGTCAGTAGGTGGCAATCTTATATCTGAAGCAGGAAAGGCCCCACAGTGCTAGAAAAACTCATGGTACCCCACTACCTACCATGTCTTCAGTGAAATGTGTAACTGTAGGTCTGAACACTTTGTGTGCTGGTTCTAAACACATAGATTTATTTTTTCTTAAGTTCCAGATATTACAGTTTAGTTTCCAGTCCCTCAATTCTTCTGTGCTCTATAGTTGCACATCTGATAGGTTATATATAGCCTTCTCCTTTGCCACACAGCAGTATGGAGCGAGACATGTAGCATTACTGTTTGCAGCTAGTAAGCTGCAATGGAATGGAATGGATGCAC